TGTTGTTAATGCATTGAGGTGGCCTGTGTGAGCATTTGGAACTAAATCAATGAATTGCCAAAATAACGTTTTTGGAAATTTATACTTGTTTACTTCGTCTATTTATTTACTTACAAGATGAGGTGTGTTCAACTTATTTCAGGTAAATAGATTCTACCAATCATGCAATTCAAAAGATTGTGGACGCTAGAGCAGTAGGTTAAAATTTTCTGTGTGAAAGTGGAACAGGTAGGAGTCAGGTTTGCTTTGACTCAGACATTGTAACATAATAACAAGCACACACGAGTCCATTAGTAGAGTTGATGTTCATTTTCTTCCGATTGAAATTGGCATTGATGCTACTCCCACTATTATTAATGCGAAATCTGGCACACATTTATTGGGCTAATTATTTGGGTGATACGTATGAAGTTGTCCTAGTCTGCAAAATTTACCCATTGCTTAAATTCACTACGATGCAAATACAATGATACCTCATTATGCGAACAATCAAGCTCTCATCTTTTACCGACTGTGCATTCGAGATAAGCAGTTCAACAGGCGATATCACCTTGTAGACTCATAAAAAGCGTTCACTTCAAAATTCAGTCGATTAAAGATCAGCAGTGTTGCACCTTCAATTTTACAATCAGAAATACTGCTCTGAATTGAGTTAAATCTATGCAAATGTGCTTGTGACAATTGATTGACATTCAAATACCTCGTCTCCTAATAGTTACTACTTAATATCCATATTCAAAGACATCATGTCTTTTACTGGAAACGTTGCAGGGATCATTTGAGAGAGATGTGAAAATCTGACCTCTTATATAATGGAATCATTCTGTCTTATATACCTCAGCAGAAGTTGGTAATCAATCCATCAAATGCTCAGATATTCAAGTTGTTCCCCATTAACATGACGTTCTTCAACAATATTTGTTGTTGCTTCTCTACCTATTGCACTTCATTGAAAAGATTGCAGCTTGGGACTGCTCCCTGTGGAAGGCCTGTTTGCAAATGATTGGATTTCGATAGAGCATTTCCATATCTGACTTTACATGATCTCTGTCCAATGAATGATTTTATCCTGTTTAGCATGTTATGCTTAATACCAATCTTTGCCAAGTTTAGAATTAAATTCCCCTTCCATACTAAGTCATATGCTGATTTAAAATCGACGAATAGAGCTGTAAGAGTTCTTCTTGCTTCAATGACACCATTGATATGTTGGGAGAAAGTGGCTACTTGTTGGTTAGTCGATCTTTATGGTCTAAAACCTGCTTGTTCATTCCTTAGAATATTGTTGGTCTCAAGGAACCAAGTCAGCCTCCTGTTAGTCATTCTTTCCATAAGTTTAGCCTGCACGCTTGTGAGGGCGATAGGCCTATGGTTGTCAAAGTTGCCGCTCGCGAGGGAGATAGGCCTATAGTTGTCAAAGTTGCTAAGGTCTAAGATAGGGCTATAGTTGTCAAAGTTGCTAGGGTCCTTGCCATTTTCCTATAGTTGTCAAAGTTGCTAGGGTCTTTGCCCTTTTTCAGTACTAGCATTATTTTGGCAACATTGGTTAGGTAGGAGACTGGTCTCCCAGATTTTGTTGAAGTGCGTCAGCATGGTTTCCTTGGCTTTTGGTTCCATTCCAATTAGAAATTCCTGATGAATAACGTCTTCGCCAGGAAACCTTTTTTATCACTTGAGCTGTTTTATCGCAGCATTATGTTCGCAAAGACTGAATGGTTCTGTAAGAACATGATGTGGAAATGTTGTATCTTCCTTGGTTTCACCAAACTCTCTTACTTGTATCTTTATATCTCTTGAACATTTTCTGACAAAAACGTTTTTCTTCTGCTTGTGGGAATGGAACCTCTAAAGTAGTTGGCTTTTTCGGAGTTGGTGGTAAGTAGTTTATTGTTTAAGCGTATTGATTCTTTCTTGGGTATTTCTCCGTTGTTTTGTAGGTTACCCAGGAATTCGAAGGTGCGTTAGCGATCACTTTGATAGTTGATATTTGAGATGAAGTTGTAGAAGGAAATACGTTTAGCTTGTAAGATGACTTGCCTTAGGGCAGCTGACTGCCCTCTCCAGACTTGTATATCTTCCGTTCATCCAGTCGGAACAGCAGTGCTGCGAATGGCGTCCTGTTCTTCCAGTCTGATCAGCAGTGTTGCGAAGGGCGTCGCGCTTCCAGTCTGATCAGCAGTGTTGCAAAGAGCGTCCCTCCCAGTCTGATCAGCAGTGTTGCGAAGGGCGTCCCTCTTACACTGATCAGCAGTGTTGCGAAGGGCGTCCCGCTTTCTTTTAGCTTCCTCAAGGTGTTTGGACCAAAACACTCGATAGTGTTTATCTCAAGGTGTTTAGACCAAAACACTCGATAGTGTTTAGTCCTCCAACGGGAATAGTTTTTTTTTGCACATCTGATCATAATATTCGTGATATCAGTGCAATCCTGATCATAATATTCGTGATATTAGTGCAAAGTTTGTCAGAGTGATATCAGTGCAAAGTTTATCAGGATGTTGGTTGAAGTCGATATCATTGCAAAGTTTGTCAGGATGTTGGTTGAAGTTGGGATCAGTGCAAAGTTTGTCAGGATGTTGATTGAAGTTGATGTGACTTGTGTGAAGTTCATTCTCTAAAAGGTTTGTGAACCTAGGCCAGTCAGCCTTCTTGAAGTTCCATGATAGCTTAGTTGGCACTTTCGTTGTCATGCTTTTGCGCCCGATGGTAATACTAGCAATAACTGGTTTGTGTCCAGAACCAGGATCGTCAATTATTTTGCCTGTGACAGAACCAGGATCGTCAATTATTTTGCGGTGTGTATGCTCGCCGATGTTGCTTGAAGCCACTAGCAATTCAGGAGTTGTTCCGGTTCCATTGTAGTGCAAATATGTATCAGGATCCTCATTGTTATAAATGAGTTCTAGAGGGTTGCTGTTTAGCATGTCTTCGATTTCCTTTCCAGCTTGGATTGTATTCCTATAGTCCCATCTTCTCCCTCTAAGTTTGTTTCAGAGCATCAATCTCATCTACTAACAAAAGACAGTTCTTTAGCAACAAACCAACATTTGGAGGAACATTTGCCAGTCCACAAATAGGCCTTCGAA